CATGCAGAAGTGGCTTTAGCTTCTCAGTGCTGTGCTTTAACCTGCTGCGCCATCAGGGAGGGCCAAGCACAAGTATTTTTAAGGCTTTTTTGCATCAAGTTTACTAAATTCCTGTTAGTTAAGAAAATCACATGTTAGCCCCACAATGAATGAATGAAATAACTTACCGACATTTTTATTAGGTATCACAATCATCACTGCCATCAGTGTAAAAACTATTATTTGTCAAGCATATCCTTAGTGCCAGGCACAGTGCTACTCACATTATATCCATCAAAGCTTATAACTTTTTACCACAGACTGATGAAATAGCTCATGCTCTCATATCCCCATATGGGAGCAAAAGAAAGTGAGATTAAGGCATAGAATGGCAAATCAACTATTCACGGTCACACAGCTGGGCACAAGAGATCTAGGACTCAGACCAACACCCCACAGCCACACTCTGTTAACTGTTCTGTGCCCCGCCCCCTCTGCCCACTGTATATAGGAGGGATTTTCCATGACTTCTCTTTAATGAGTTCCCTGCACATTACTTACCTGCCAAGACTACATCCACATTTGACATTTTTCTAACAAGCACCTTGAATTCAACATTGTGTGGCTCACTTTTGTTTAGTGTACATAGAAATTGTTGATGTTTTTCTGGTACTTTGTGGTTGTGGGATTAGCAATGGTGATAGCAGGTCAAAGCTTTATTTTTTTTTAAGATTTATTTATTCATATAGAACTGGGGTACAGGCCAGAGATGCGGAGGGTGAGAGGCTTCACCAGAGACAGAGCAGGGAGCAGAACAGGCAGATCAATGAAGTACACTGCTGAGGGGAGCAGCGGGCGGGTCAGGAGAGGTCTGCCACGCCATGTGGTCACTCCAGGGCAGGCAGGAATCGAACTCATGCGGAAGTGGCTTAAGCTTCTCAGTACTGTGCTTTAACCCGCTGCACCACAAGGGAGGGCCCAAAGCTTTATTCTTAGAGCTCTTTATCTCTCTTTTTTACAATGTTGTTCACTTTTGTACAATATTTGGTTTCTCCTTACAGGTGTAATCCCCATTCATCTCTTATTTCTTCAGATAAATCTAAGGCTTAGAAACAAGTAGTGTTAACAATGGTAAATGATCACTCAATATACTCAGAGTATTTATAAATATTAGCAATGAGCTGTCAAGATTATGGCTTTCCATATTCTTGACAACTAGCGTAGATTAGAACACACTAGAGGTGTTCAGTGCATGTTTATTGTACGTGTCTCCATTAATAGTCATATCCCATTTATGCAAGGCCCACTCACATATATACTAGTGACCTGATATTGACCAGTGTGATCATTAGAGAGTCATGGGGACTGACACTAAGTGAGAACTCTGGGCCCATCAATACTACCTGGGCATATACAATGGGGCCAGGTCGTACCATTTTTCAGGAGATTTTGTAACTTGGCATGTGTATGCAGACTTTCCTGATTTCAAATGGTGTCAGATAAAGCTGGTCTTTGGGTGAGTCTGGTCTCTGGCCAGCCAATTTATATCCCCCTATACTAGGCACTTACTGGCATATCTCTATTGCATTGTAACACTACTAAAGGAAAGAGAACCACAGAATAAGGCAAAGATAAAGAAGTGGGAGTTAAGAGGGGATGGAATTCAAGAGAAATGGATGATTTTCTATTTTAGAGATTCCACAGAGGTCAATTATATAAAAATTTTAAAAGTTCTGTTATCAGCAAATTATTTGATGTAACAATATGTTCACAAGTTGTGCTTTTTAAAATGCATATATATAACCACTCTAGTATCTTGTGTTTTTCCTCCCTTGTTTTCATACACAAACACAAAGAGAGAGAGAGACAGTAATTTAAAAAAGAAACCAGGAAAGTGTGTGTATGTGTATACTTTATATATTAAGTAAAGTCAAATGTATATATATATTAACTATATATATATAGTTAATAGCATGAGAAATACTCAGTAAAACAAAAATAAAATAATTTCTTTGCCCTGACTCTTTTGTCTTTAATATTCTAAAATGCAATGTAAATCATCAAAAGGAGAAATACCAAGTTTTTCAAAATTCTGTTACCAAGTATGGTATCAAGTAGTCTGTACTTCATGCAATCCCAGTAGATTTAATGGTTTGAGGGAACTACTTGGGATATCTGGAGAAGAGACTATTGAGACTTTGAGGATCTTTGAAGTCATAATGTGGAAACTGGCATATATATAAGGTGATGAGTGGGGCCATGATGAGCCAATGGCACAATTTGTCAAGGAAAGAAAGTAGGTCAGTCCATTAGCCTTTTATAAGCATCATTCCTCTGCTAAAGACATGTAGTCCACCTCTGATTGATTAAACCTCTGCTTAACGTTCAGGACTCTCCTTTATCAAGTCAATTGAGCTTTCGAATTTCCCAGCTTGTCCTGTTCTCACTCTTCTCTTAAAAACCCTGCTCTACTCACTGTTCTTAGGAAATATTCACTGTTTTCTGATCTCTTCCCTTTTGTTTATCATATGAGTTGCCTCCCCCAGAGGTTCTAATTTGAGCTATGCCTTTTTTCCAAAGCACAGAACAAATCTGCTTTTCCTCTGAAACCTTTAGCCATCAACCCTCACAGTGAGTTTCTCTTCCTCAACTTCTGTAGCATTTATTTCTGAAGGATTTGTTTGAGACTTAGTGTGTTTGGAAGTTGCCTATCTAATTTAGAGCTGAGAGAAGAAAGGTATGTCCTGACTCTGAAGCTCTGAACCCCCCATTTGCCCTCACAGTACACCCAAATAAGGTTAAAATGATATTATCCGGCAGCACATAAGAACAACAGTATAACCCCTTCATGCTGAATTGCATAGACTGTATTCTTTTTCTGTATAACTACATGTTATTCATTGAAGGCAGAGCAGTCCATTCTGTTCCTGCCCAATAGTAATGGGAACTATTTCTACATACCAAGTAGAGAATTTTACATGTATTATCTTCATGAGCCCCACAACATCCCTCAGAATAGGAGTTATTCCCATTTCACAGAAGAGGAATGTGTCTCTAAACATGCAAGTCAGCTTACTGAGGTTCATGACTAGCTTGCAGTTAGTCAAGGCAAAGCCAGGTGTAATCCTTATACCTGACCCCAAAGTGTGGGTTCTCTCTTTCCTTGCATATCATGTCCATGGCCACATTGGATACCAGAATTTTTTTTAATACTTATTTATCTATGCATATAGAAGTGGGGTACAGGCCAGAGGTGTGGGGGAGTGGGAGAATTCACCAGAGACAGAGTGGGGAGCAGAACAGACAGATATACTGAAATACACTGCTAAGGGAGCAACAGGTGGGTCAGGAGAGGTCTGACAAGCCATGTGGATCCCTTCCCTGGCCAGAGATCGAGCTCATGCTGCAGCGGCTGTGGCAGCTTCATAGTGCTGTGTTTTAACCCGTTCCACACCAGGGAAAGCCTGGATACCAAAAATTTGATAACAGTGAATTAAAGCTAGTAATTCACCCTCTGCCTCTAAGTAACAAGTATATACCAGTAGACAGAGACAGAATAGATAGTTGTAGGTTATGGATTAGTTGTAGGCTATCTAAAGAATAGAAATCTAGTTAGGGTCAGCACAGTTTAATTATCATGGGTGTTCTAGCTACAGTCTAGGATCTCTCAAGGACCTTGCACAGGTCAGCAGGGCTCCCCTTGAATGCCCATAGGACCTGGTTAAGGTGAGACTGGGAATATCAAGCATCATGGGGATGTCTGCATGACCTGGAGAGTAACCAAGGGTCTTCTTTTTTCTAGTCACTCACCAGAGAGACTCACCTCCTTTCCACAGTATTGCAGGCTCTTTGGTAATCTCCCTTTCTAGACTGTGAATTCTTTGAGGGGAAACATTATTGGCCCCTAAAGACATAATAACTAATTTTTAATCTGATAAATAAGTGGCAAGTCAACCAAGGCAAGGTGGTCAAGGTAACATGGTAGACACAATATAATAAGCCTTCATTCCATCATCAGAAAGCTAGATTAAGCCCTTGTTATGTTTCCTTTTCCCCTGTTATTTAAACACTACCCAGAAGTCTCTGGCTTCTCAGCATGCTTGACAAATCTTAAAACCTCCCTAAAATAGTGTCAAACCTCAAAATTTTTCAAGCCTCCAATTCTAAATTAAATAATGAAACCCTGCCACTATACAAAAAGCAAGTATTGTCCTTTGCAAACACCCCACGTCTTTCAGAGTGGTGCCACAAAGCAAGAGTTATGTAAATGTATTTTAAATAATTGCATTGGGGTGGATTAGAATTATGGTTGGGAATCTGTCCTACTAGTCTTGATCGTAAGTCTCTAGAGATAATTCTTAGAGAATTCAGGTGATAAAGGAGAGGAGATCAGACTAGTGATTGAGATAGAACAGGAAGAGTGGGCAGGATCTGTCAATTCATTGGTTATGGGAGGTGAGGGAAGAAGAGAGAAAAAGATTTAGAAGACTTTGCTCCAAGCTATGGATTGAAAGATTATGCCCAAGAGATTAGCTGTAGAAGTTTTCCTTCCCTGTGACCCTCTCACTCTCACTTTAGTCTGAGTATGAAGAAAAGATTCCTCATGAATGTAAAGCTGAAGGTCTGTGAGGCCTGGAGACTGTGAAAATTGCTCAGGAGAGTCCAATAGGACACAAAGGAAATATTTGTCCTTGTCCCTCTGCAGAAGTGATTTGCTCTGCTGAGGAGAAGGAAGAGAAGAAATTTGAGCTGAATATATTTTTGGTTGGTACAACTTGTAAGTGTTCTGTTTGATAGCAGAGTTGTTTAAATGGCCTATTTCATAACTACACATAGCTTTTCCAAATAAATGGTGTCTGTAGAATGTTCAGGTTAATGCATTAGTCCAGTGCTCAAGAGTGTTTGTGCTCAGAGCAACTGAGCCTTCTCTCTTAATAAGTCATCTTGGCATTTTGTCAACAAGTTAATTTGCTTTTCTAAGAAACTAGATTAATACTTCCTGTACTGTGTGCTATTCACAGATCTACAATGCAGTGAGAAGGGGAAAAGAAACAGAAGATACAACTGGATCTCTTCTCCACTTCTTCCTAAAGCTCCCAACCACGGAGGCAGCCCATGAAAGGATTAGCATTGGTCCGTGCTTAAAGCAGCGTGTCCGGGATACCGTATGTGAGTATCGTGCTACCCTGCAAAGGACTTCCATATCTCACTACATCACCGGCTCTCTCCTAGAAGCGACTACGTCTTTAGGAGCAAGAAGTGGCCTACTCAGTACTTTCGGAGGATCCACAGGACGAATGATGCTGAAAGGTAATGTCTGAAGTTTCACTTTCAACCTTTTATCTTTGCATGCAGGAAGGAATCTAAGTTAACACTTATGTATCTGATGGAAGATTAAATTTACTTATCAGCAACTTTAAATACAGGTGAGAGAATATAAAAAGTTAGACCTTTTCAAAGTCCTGTTAAGATATAGGCATTATGTATAATGAGCATTAAGGTTTTAATGTTTCTTTTTCAAAAAGAAGTAAATGGTTAAAAGTTATTTTTAACATTTTTAAAAAGGTATTCTCCTAGTGGTGGCTCATGACAGGTGATAGTTACTATGGTAACAAGCTCTTCAGCGAATGTGGTCATGTAGTCAAAATGAGAGCCAACAATGGTTGGCGTAGAGTTCTCCCTAACAGAATCAGAAAGTGGAAGGCCGCCTTCCAGTGATGCCCATCTTAAGAGACAGATATCAGGCATCCTGCTAAAAATTAAAAATCAGTAGAAAATGAGGTCTCTTGGCAGTTGTGCCTCCCAGCTTCTTCCCACGAAGAGCAGACAGGCAGGTCAGAAATGGCAGTGCACCCGAGCGCCTCGGAGATTTGTGCACCACACAGCTGTCACAACCCGCTTGGCAACCTTCCCCTGCAGGAAGCTGCCAGCCAGACAGGGACCACGCAGAGCAGTGTTCCACTGCCTGGGAGCTGCCAAGAGCGCGATCTGACGTCTGGCTCTTCCTCCCAAGGACAGCCACTGTCGTCCCTCCTCAGCACACCCAGACCCGAGGCACAGGCCTGGGACCCTTACCCTCAACCTCCCCAGCCCTTGTATATCCCTTGAGCTCATGGGGAAGAGTTATATGTCCCTCTGTGTAGAACAGGGTATCATGTTGGTTTGTTGTCTGGAGTGACCTGAACTTCTGTGAGTGGGTTATAAATGATGAAGGAATAAAAAACCTCAAGATGTGGGAACACTAAGCCAAGGGGTTAAAAATAGACTAAAGCGTAAAAACTTGGTTTCATATGTTCTTCATTCACTCAACATGGTTCTTTTGTGTTTTTGTTTTTTTTTCCTGAGCCCCTACCAGGTGTGAGGTGCTGGGTAGGGGTCAAACCACAGCGCTTGCCTTAATGGGTCTTAGAGTATCTGGGAGGTTAAACACTTTCCCTGTGAACAGCACTCAAGATTTCTCTGTGGTACGACTTCTGGTGACTGCCAAGCTTACCTCTGCATCACTGCTCTTTCTGGGAAGTAGGGTTGAGATGGGCATGTGGAGTGGGCATTGCTTCAGTGTTTGTGACTCTAGATGATGGCTCCATCTTGTCATTTAATCAGGCCATGTTTTTCAGACACCCGCTCTGTGCCCAGCAGGGAATAATTATTATGGGAGATCCTAATGAGGTGCAAGTCGTTGGCCTTAAGTTCATTATGACCCTAACAAGAAAGCCAGACTTGCATGTATCAAGTAATCAAAAAGTAGTATGACACTACAGAGACTCAGGCTGACTAACGTGGAAGTAGCTCTACGTGATCAAAGAGCTTGGTGAGGGAATTAGTGTTCGTGGTGACAAAAGGACTAATCTCAAACAAACAAAGAAAAATCAATAAAATAAATGCCACTTTCCTTCTTCTCCATTAATTACAAAGGGACATATTTCTAGTTCTTACCCAGGTAGACTGCCTTCAGCCTGACACAGACCATTCAGGACAAAAAGAGGCTCATGGTTAGTGTGTCTGTTTATCTCAGTTGCCATTTGCATGACCTGATTCAGATCAGAAACTCACAGATCCATCCCCCTACTCTGAGACTCACTGGGCCATCAGCTAGAATGTTGGCTTTAAATTGTCATTTTATGTAAGAGTTGGGAACCGGTTTGTTAGTTTGTTTTTCCTACTATGCATTTCTCTAATTGTTTCTGACATTTCTCTGGAGGTAATATTTCCTGAGTAATACAATTAGATAGCTGGTTCCTGCTCCAGGCTCACTTCTATAGTTCCTGGCTTGCTCACTGAGAACCATTTTCAACGTCAGTGCCTTCTCCCTTGATGTTTTCAAAGTCTGTATGTACCATAGTGAACCATGGTTCTTCATGATGCAGTGGGAGAAAATACATCAAGAAACCATATGAATGTTTGAAGTCACAGAGTGTTTCTAGAATCTATAGGTTCAGCATGTTGACTAGTTGGGGCTTGGGCTCTGTAGGTGGTCTAGAGGGTCTGTTCGCTGTGACTGGGTTGTCTACCTCTCCTACTGTTTAGTGTGTGTCCTGTGGCATAAAATTGTCCAACAGCTTTCAGCTCTGTATTACTAGTAAAAGTCTATGGACTGGTATCTGTGGGGCACACTCAGTGCCCAGTTCATAAATGGTTTGTGTTCCAGTTTAATTTCTCAGGAGCTGCGTGGAACTTGGAATGCTTTCCTGGAGCAGGGGTATTGTGATTTGGTTCCCAGACTTTAGTCTTCAAAAACCTCTTTAACATAATAGTTAAAATGTACATACGTCCCATGAAATAAAAATCAAAATGTGATTACTAGAGCACTAGGAATCAGCCTCCTAGAACAATAAAATATAGTGAGTTAAAAGGATATTTCTTATTAAAGAAAATAGTCTAAATTAAGATGAGTACAGAGTTCAAGTACAACTTTTATGGGTTTTTTGAGAAGAACTTTGATCTCAATTGCAAGATCTCAATTGCAAATGGCAATTGAGATCAACAGACACACTAACCAGGAGCCTCTTTTTGTCCTGAATGGTCTGTGTCAGGCTGGAGGCAGTCTACCTGGGTAAGAACTAGAAATATGTCCCTTTGTAATTAATGGAGAAGAAGGAAAGTGGCATTTATTTTATTGATTTTTCTTTGTTTGTTTGAGGTCAGTCCTTTTGTCACCACGAACACTAATTCCCTCACCAAGCTCTTTGATCACGTAGAGCTACTTCCACGCTAGTCAGCCTGTAAGTCTCTGTAGTCTCATACTACTTTTTGATTACTTGATACATGCAAGTCTGGCTTTTCTTATGGTTCTTTTCTTATGGCTGATTACATCTCAAGACTCATACCCATATGAATGAATAAGAAAATTATTGTACAGTAAATTTTCTTTTTTTTAATGGGAAGCTTTATAAATGGAATGAAGAAGGAAAAAGGGAGGTAGGGAAGAGTTTCTAAAAAAACTTTTTTTCCCAGAGAGAGCATAAGAAAGAGTCAAAAAGAATGACATCTTTTATTAGGGCAATCATGTTTGAAGTGAATTAAGTAGAGTTGAGAAAGGCAGAGGAAAGGAGGAGGGTGAGAGAAAAATGCTGTATGATTCCATCATTATGAAATCTTAAAATAGTCAAACTCAAATGCACAGAAAGTGGAAAGGTCATTGCCAAGAGCTGGGGGTGTGGGGGCGGGGAGGAGACCTGCAGGAGGCAGGGGACTGGGAAGCTATTCCTTCATGGGTGTAGAGTTCAGTTTTGCAGATGAAAGTTCTGGAGATGGGTGGTGGTGATGGCTGCACAACAATTATGAACAGGCTTACTACCACTGAGCTATACTCTTTTTTTTTTTTTCATGCTTTTTCCCCCTTTTATTTATTTACTTGTTTTTACATCATTCTTCATTTTGTGCATTTTTTCCATCTTGGTTGTAATCCCCATGGACTTCCCCCCACCAGTTCACCCATGTGCCATCACTATAGTTGAACTATACTCTTACAAGTGGCTGAGATGTTAGAATATTTTTTTATATCTTACTACAAAAAAGTTGAAATATTCAAAGAGGAGGAGGAACATGTTATGCAGATCCTTGGCCCCAAGTCTAAAGCTTTATAGAGAACAGAATTCATAGAAAGGAAATCTGAAGACAGGTAGTTTTTCATATGATCTCAAGGTGACCCAAGACAACTTACCTTTAGCAGTTGGTTATGACTAAAGGTGAGGCTTGGACAGCCTGCAGTAGGTAAGGACAAGAGGGGGAAATGTGCATCCCCCATCTTCACAGAGCACTAACAAGACATATGGTAACTCAGAGATTAACTGGCTAGAGTTCTGTACCCTAACAACTTCCCAAAGCCTACAGGCTACGGCTAACTCTCCAGCATCTCCATGAACTTACATATCTCCAGCAGTCCAGGTGGTTCAAGAAAGATAGGCAGCAACCATTCCACAAGCATTCCTGGTTTTGTGCCTTCAGAACCACCAAAGATGGTCTCTCTGCTCAGCTGAAAATATGCCAAATAATGAGAAACGTTTCTGAAATGAAACACTGATCAGCAAAAACATGCTTCTCAAGGCTATGCTGTCTCAGAATGGAGAGCTTACGCCATCTTCTTAGGAGACATCCACTATCTTGGTAAACTTAAGACTTTTCTGCTTGCCACTGGGTGTCCTCCTTCCATCGGCATGAATCTTAGTAGAATCAACTCCCTATAGCAATGGCGTTCTATAGAAATATTGTCTATCAGGAAGAAGTTTTCTAAATCATTCATCTGTCTTTGTTTCTTTATTCCAAAATGCTACTTGTTTAAAAGCTACAAAAGTGAGGGTAAGTAAAAAGAGCACGATAGTTGACAATAAGGTAATGCACAGACATAGCAAAATTGAAATACAAAGTAGTGATAGGAAGAGGATTTTTCTATATAAGAGTACTAAGTGTTTTCAAATATGCAGATTGCACCAACCAAAACAGTAAATTTAATACATTAAATTCCATTTTTTCTTCCCATGTTGATAAATTAAGGACTTACTGTTTACATATAGGCAGGACAAAAGCTTAATTGCCCAAATTTAATTTATGTGGTGGAAAACAAAATGCCATTGTCCACTTTTGTCCAGTCTTGATATGTATATATAAAATAGCTGTAAAATTACAGGTGATATACACTTAAATAGGTAGTAATATTAAAACAAAAAGTTTCCTAATCTAATGTTCTTATTTTAAAGTAGAATTACTTTGTTTCTAATAGAAAGGCCTAACAAATTTTCTAATTTTATGTTATTTTATTTTTCTGCATTAAGTACATTCAATTGAAGTCCTTTTCTAGACAATAATAATAA